AATTTTTTCTTTACGTTATTCCAAGTTTACGTCAAATGGATTTGGATATGATTAAACGTTTACAACGTAAAGTGAATATCGTTTTGGTTATTGGGAAAGCCGATTGTCTGACTAAGACGGAGGTACGCAACTTAAAAGAACGCATTTTGCGCGACCTGGAAGATAATCATATACAGTTATATCAGTTTCCTGAATGCGATTCCGATGAAGATGAAGACTTTAAGCAGCAAGATCGTGAACTAAAAGCTTCGATACCGTTTGCGGTGGTCGGTAGTAATACAATTTTGGATATTGCCGGTAAAAAGGTGAGAGGTCGTCAATATCCATGGGGTGTTGTTAATGTAGAAGATCCTGAACATAGTGATTTCATTAAGCTAAGGACTTTTCTCATCTCTACGCACATGCAAGATTTAAAAGACACCACCCAGGATGTGCACTATGAAAATTTCCGAGCTCAATGCATTTCACAAATATCACAGCATGCTTTACGAGAGCGCGGTAAATTGAAGCGTGACTCGATCAGTTCTACTAATGGTTTTGAGTCGGTCATATCCGAAACAGATCGTTTACTCTTGCAAAAAGATGAAGAGATACGACGAATGCAAGATATGCTAACACAAATGCAAGAGAAATTAAAGCAGACTCATCTTATGGAAATGAAGAAGAACGATAGTGTCATAGATGTTTAGAGAGCGTTGAAAACCGCAAGACGTAAAAAGAAGAGAAAAACTTATCGATTTACCTCTTTTCTATAGGAAAATCACCTTCCAATTATTTAATACATATATAAACCTCCACCTCTCCATTTTCCCTAACCAACAAATTGTTTCAATCCCTGGACCTTCATATTAACAGTCTCTCTTTTACGGTTTTCTTGGAATATTCAAAAAAAAAAAAAAAAAACAAAAACAAAAACAAAAACGCACATAGAATTTTAGTTATTTTAAATGAAAAAACCCCACCCAAAAAAAAAAAAAAAAAAAAACTTTTTTTTTAAATAAAAGAAAAAAAAAACAGCAACCAATAGTTTCATGTTAAACAACGATTAGCGTCTAATGAAAGGATGAATTTACGATGCAATAAAAACAAATAATCAAATAAAGGAAAAGAAAACTTTTTTTTAAATAATAATAATAATAATAATAGTAATAATGATGAAAAAAGAACAACAACCACAACAAAATAAAACAGAAGATTATATTAATGGAAAATCATATTTAATCTGAACCCCACCCACGAAGTGAAGAAAAAAAAATAAATAAATATAAAAATGAAATAAAAAACTGTTCCCAAAAAATACCTTAAAACATAATCTAAAAGTTAAAATCTTTTCGCGTATTCAAGATTTAACATAACCCCAAATATATTAACAAATACATGAATAATGCAAAAAAAAAAAAAAAAAACAAAAAACAAAATTAAACAAACATTAACGAATTAATTTTTTTTTTTTTTATTTTTGTTTATTCTTATAATTAAGTTATTAAATAATTTTACTATTTTACTAAATAATTAACATAATTTAATTAGTTAATTTATTAAACAGTGCTATAAATTTTATTTAACGACAGCAAAAATAGGAAAGAAAAAAACGAAAAACAAAAAAGAAGAAGAACAAGAAGAAGAAAAACGAATTTAGTCACACTTTTGTTTCACTTGTATATTTTTTAAAAAAAGTCTACTCTTTAAGTTATTAATGCTTCTGTAATTAAATATAAATATTTAGTTAAAATGGAGAGCCTCTTTTCAAAGTAATAAATTTAAATGCTTAAATATTTCAACTTTAATTGTTTAAGTTTTAAATATAAAGTAAATTTTAATTTAAAACAAAAACAAAAAAAAAAACAGTATGTAAAATATATAAAAAAGAGAGACTTTAAGTGAATTTGAACAGTAAAACAAAAAAAAAAAAAAAAAATTTAATTCCAATAAAAAATTCTTAATCAAACGAGAAGATAATATAAAGAAAGGATGTATTCGGCTGCAGGTGAATATTAGGTAAATAATCAATGGTATCCAGGGCTCTTTTGCTTAACGATGTTCAGATTATCCGCCTACAATCAACAGCCTTCCCTTGAAATTTCTTTTTCAAACACAATTACAAACGTGTAAGCTATTCATAATATTGTTTTCAAATTCTCTGCAGGAAGCAAGTCCCTATTCAAATTTGTTCTGTCAAAAAAAAAAAAAAAGAAGAAAAACTTCTGCTCTACGTGTCAACCTTCAGTTCACTTCCTATTAACGCTGAGATATCGAATGCGGGTATATTTGCCATTATTTGTTCTCTGTACTGCCACGACGCGACCTTGTCTGCATTTACAAGCCAACTGCACGGTTTCGTTAACGATTTTTGTTTGCCCAAGAATGACAACAAAGCAATAATGAATATATGTAATATAAGTAAATTGACTCAAGTTTTTATATTGAACGAAAAAATTACTAAAAAATTACTACTCAATTAAGCTTTAGCTCTGCATACAAAAATTGACAATTACTATCTCTCTCGAGTAATTATGAATTAAATGTTTGCTCTCTCTTGTTTTGTTTAAATGGAGAGACAAATTAAATAACTTACACCATTTAATTTAATAACATTTAACTTTTTTTAAACACTGGCCCGGGAGCACTCAAAGCAATTCTCTGATCGAATTAATTTTTAATGCTAATGAAAAAAATATTTGTACAAATTTCATTATTGAGGATGACATGTGAACGTCACATACAAGACTAAGTAGTAAGTAACCGAAATCATTTTGAGTATTCCATGCATCCGCACAAATTTAATTTACTCTCTTCACAAGTGGCGTATTGTCTGAAAGAGATGATTGCTGTACAATTGCTTGTTACGTGCAATAAAAATATATTTTAAATTTATAAGAAAGTATGTATGTAACATTAAATATAATAAGCAATGGATTCGTCTCTCATCATTGGCTGGATCGATTTAAGCTTTAGCTATCCATCTATCCAGCTATGCATGGATTCTTGAGAAAGTGATACAAGACTATTAATATTTCCCTTAACTATCTGAAACCGCTCAATGAAAACTAGATAGCGACCATAATAAACTTGTAGAATTGGACATAAATAAAATTTAGTGCTAGTCCTTGAGAAATATTAGCCAAGAATGTAAGTTTTCTTTCAAAATTTAATGATGATGCAGTTCACAAAAATTGAAGAAGAAGAAAAGAATTTTATTTAATTATATACCGAATATGCTAATACCTATCATTTACTTCTTTTTTTTCTTTCTTAATAAATTTTATAAACTTTACATATATGTTACTTAATAAAATCAAATGATACTTGCACGCGTAACCGTCATTAGTATCGTAAAAAGTATAGAAATTTTTCAGAAAACATAACATCCTGAAAATCTAACATAACACGGACGGACAAAACATAATAAAATTAGAAAAAAAATGCAAGACATGCTTCCCCATTGCCTTTCCCACCTTTTTAAAACTCTTTCGTTACTTTTCTTTCCTTCGCCACCACTCTTCCTTCTCTCTTTCTTCTTCTCTCCGACTGTAGTTAAAAGTTAATGAAGACGTGTTAATACGACGCTGCTAAGTAACTAGATAAGCTCTTTTTATATACTCTTAAATATAATGCGCCTTAGGATCACCGCAGTTATTTTTTATACAAAAACTTGCACTGTTGCGTCGAATTGCATTTTTGTGATGGGCTTTGGAAAAATTTCTCATGCAATGTCCGGTAAATTCTTTTCAAACTAGGCATAGAGCAGATGTAGTTTTCCGCATTTGTATGCCATTTTCCATTTTTAATGCAGTCCATGTTCCCATGCTAAAACAATCGCTTCCTGTAAAGAACACTGCTTATGATACGAGCTGCCGCTAAAGCCTAAGCTATATGTATACGATATACTTAACGTGATATACCCCAAGATCCAAAGCACTAGCATGATTTTGATATCTAACCATGATCAATGGCGCGAGATATACAAGATTTATTCACCCGTTTGCAATCAGAGGAGAATTTTTTATTTTATTTTATTTTTTTTTATCACCCAAGATTCCAAGAGATAACTGAAACTTGGCTTATATTCTACTTTAGAATAAATGAAACGATATGCCTAGAATCGACGACTTATTAATGAGGAAATATGCAATTCATAATATATGTGTATGTTAAGACGCGTATAAACTCGGAGCATGTAAAGCGTTAGTCCGAATGCGATCATGATCGTGAAATTAGGAAACCGTGAGAGTGAAATTTGACAAAAAAACTATCACTTACAAGTTATAGGAAATATTCGGTCGGTAACTATATATATTCTGCTCAGCCATCTCCACAGTGAATATAAAAATGGTCTCTTATCGTCTAACTAAGAAACCAAGAGCATTTAATGGCTGCCGGATAACATAGATGATATGCTTGTCAGTATTTTGGATAGTTTGAGGCCGATTTGTTGACCAATCAATCTGAGAAAAGTCAATGGGAAGCATTTATAGTCAAGTTTAGCGGGTTCAACAAGGTTTAGCAAAATTGCAGCTTGATCGCAACGGCCAAAACATGCCGGGCATAATCCAATAAGCACAATATGCACATATAAAAACATCAGTAGTCTTCATTTTTATTTTTTATTTTTTTATTTTTTTTGTTATTACATATCCAAGTTAAAATCTAATCGAAAAACGAAGTAATGAAAATAACGGAGGTTATTGTCCCCCCCAAATGGTAAGAGTAAAGCACTACACCTATGCTGTTTAAATGAAAAAGAAAAAGGAAAGCAATATAAATTTTGAAAATTTAATGCATTAGTAATTTAGGGAACAAAATTATTCAGTATTTCAATCTGATTCTTATTTTATTTGAATTCATTCAGAAGAGATATTGCCAAGCGATCTTTGAAACGTGTTTCTGCCCATTCGAAAATTGGGATAAACTTAATATACCATTAATGATGGAGATAAAGTAGAAAAATTGATTATTCAGTGTCTTTCTAAAGAAGAGCTTACCTTAAAGCGAAGACATTTTTATGAAAAATCATTATTAACAAATTTTTAAAGCGTCAAATCAAGTCATACTCTCGCTCACAATGGGTAAACAATTTAACAATATTATTAAATATATATTTTATTTTTCATTTCGTAAAAATATTTGCAGTGAATTTTTTCAGATTAATTTACATAAAATTAATTTTAATTATGACAATCGTTTGGCCAGTAATTGATTCTCGGGTAAATGAAAAGACCACTTTAAGCATTATCGATGATCATAATTTGACTGATACTCTTACGACAAGTGTAAGCCCTGTGGACCTATATACTAATAATAGCAGTAATCGGATGAGGAGTAAAAAATCGCAAGATAGAACAGCAATAACAACAAATTTACCTATCATTTCCAAGAATACTGTGGCTGATCATATTTCTTCATCTACGCCTTTAATAACAAAAAGTCCTAGCGCTTATGATCAAGTTCCTTGTACATGTGGTATATTCTTGGGCTCTCAACTTAAATCGCAAAATATTACTAATAACTCAGCATTAATTATCAGCGAATTGAATCGCTTTTATAATTGCGATAAACGAGGTCAGATGCGCTGTCAAACCAATTGTTTGGAACAGGTTTATAAAACTAAAGACAAGCTAAACAACATAAAATTTATTTTTAATATCGATCCGTGTTTTTCTTCTTTTATTTTTTCTTTCAAGCAGATTATGCAATTTTTACCCAAATCGGACCGTATCATATGCGCCAGTTCATCGGATGATCTTCTCAAGGAGAAGGCTTATTTACTAATTAAAAATTGCGACAACTATTGGATAAATACTAAGCTAACGTCTGGACATGAGTATTGTTGCAAAGATGGTAAACCTTATAAATGTACAAATAAATGAAACATGGCATGTTAGCCGACGAGAATAGCATTCGGTCAAACGCAAAGTATATATGATTTGCTGTAATTCAGACTCAAGTCCTCAAACATTATTCATTATTCATTTATGGTAGAAATACGAAATTTTTAAAATTTTTTATAAATAATTTACACCTAAGTATGACGTGAAATTAACTAAAATTCATTCAGTTTTGCTTATATAAAGAATATGCGTTTTTTTATATACTAAGCATAATAAAAGTTGGAAAACATTCACTTGATGTGCTGCTACTCGATCTGCGCACTATGTATCTCACGTTAACGAATGTATGTATATGTACATATATATGAAACGAGAAACTAGGATATGGTAATTTGGAACAAGAACCGAAACTAAATTAATTTAAAACTCTTTCCATCTCGCACTCGCAGCAACTTTTCTCAAAATTGTACGATGGGCAGAATTTCTTCAGACGAAAAATCCTTAATAGTAACCGAACATTCTATAAACTTTCTGTTATTTAACTTTTGAAGTAAATTTGAAGAATATAATCATGAAACCTCCCATTGATAACGGGTTTCGTAATCGCAATCAGAATGGCAAGGATTATGTTATGCAAAAAAAAACACACAGAGGAGATGCTCGTAGTTGGCATATCGCGCCACTATTATCTACATATTACCCCTTCCAAATATCACTTATGTAGAACGAAAACATGCCATTGCCGGCTTACGTAATAATTCCATTCTTAATAGTTTTCAAAGTCCAAAAAAAGTTTCCTTAATGGATAAACTTAAAGGACGTGTTGTCATTTCGATGAAGAATGCATAGCATTGTAGAAATGTGGAAGAAATCAGTGACTAAATGAATAATTTGTACTCATTTCTTAATGTCCATGTTTTACTTGGACAAGGCCTTAAAATCAATGGACACAAGATAAAAATAATATAGATATATGTAAATAGACAGAACGTTTAAAAAACGTTTAAAATAATAATTTGAATTCATTGAAGATTGTCAAAGGAACGCCGGACAGCGTACAAAATGTAGTCTACAATCTGTACAAAGCTTATAGGAATTGTAAAAATTTTATTTATTTATCAATTTATCTTCTTATGATTCGCATCACAGATAATATAAAAAGCGAGTGAATATTTGTATAAAAAAAAGTTAGATATTAATTGCTAAAAAAAAAGGTTTTTTTATTTGTTTCGAATTTAGGAACATTTAAAACTATTTATTTAGATTATGTTTATAAATTGTAATAAAAGTTACTTCAATTACGTGTTGCCGTACTTTTTTACAAATGAATCCAGCCACTGTTGAAATTGGTCGACATATTCATCAACAATAGTAATAAATGTAACCGCTCCAAAATGCGGCGGATGATTATCGTTTACACCATATACATGTTCTATAAAATGTTCGCACATAATAATGGCACCTACAGCATGAATAAGTTCAACGTCATGACGCATCGATAATTTAGCAAAGGATTCAGCGAATTGTTTAAGTAACACGAAAGCTTGTTTGGTTAGGCAATCTTAAGTGCAGGCATGAAATGACAAACATTTAATCAAACCATTATTCATTCTTACACAAGAAAATAATTGATTTACCTTGTCTGGTTGCTCGACAAGCCACAAAATAACTTTTTAATAATTTGGTAGCATCAGGTGTCCAATCGACAGTGCGTTCAGAGATAATAACCAAAAAACTGCGCATATCTTCGGTAGTAATCGATAAATGATCTATAGTTGATTCAAATAAACGCAGTGACGCTTGTTCTAAGGTATAGTTAACCAAAGCATCGTGATTATCTTCGGCAGCGTAAATTGGTAAACCAAAAATCCTATAAAAATTGAAAAATACATTTTATAAACTTAATTTTATATTAGTACTGATCGTAGCGTTGACGTACTTAACAAATTTATTAAACGTTTGCTGATCGTTGGAATTGTATTTAAATGAACGCCAATGAGCCCAAATGGCAGTTTGCAAAGGATAATTTAATGTCGACTTGTCGATAGGTACGCGTCCACTTTCCAGAGTTTTAAATACGCGTTCCGCGTTGGCCGATTTGATGCGAGACCAATCACCCACGTAGCACACACCGCCGTCGGCTAACAGTATGGGATTGGCCTCAATCCAATTATGATTGCGAAAACCATTAGTATTGCACGGTTTCATATCATCAATTGGTCCGACAAAACGAGTGGCCAACTGACCGACTTTCTTCATTAAATAATTTATCGTATAACTGTCGTTTCCAATAACAATTAGAGGTATGGGAGGTATATCAGCATTAGGCTAAAAACGATTCATCTCATTAGAAAAACAAGAAACAAATTGTATTCACCTTAAGGCAAACTTAAATAAATCGCCGCCACCTTAAATAAATACAAAAAAATTTTTAGTATTTATGGGTCGAGTCAGTTGATTGGTCGAAATATTCTTCTTTTTTTTTTTTCATCGATCTTTCAAATGTCCCCTAACAGGCATTTTTACAGAGTTTTATTTCAACACTTCTTAGTATTTATGATTTCTAATTTTGTATCCTCTGCGAGCGTGTCTGTTTGTGGAATAAAACCATCTTCATTATTGATATGGTTCGCGTAAACGCTCATTTCGAATACAGACCAACATAATGTAGTCTACGCTTTTTTGTCTATTGTGGATGGATCAGGCCTACGTTCAAAACTTAGCTGCTAAGCAAATTTCAAGTATCGCAACCGTCATAATTCCGATAACGGTAAATCGACTCAAAACATTACGTCCACCAAGAATATATGTAAATATGGTACGTACTTTTGACGGTCACAAACGCAAGGATAAAGCTAATGTGCATAAATATTTCAATGATGAGTATATAGAGAAAAAAAATGTATTTCTATTTACCCCTATGGAAGCTAAACTCAATAATAAACCCATCTTCAAGGTAACAAAACAATCCATGGGTATACGATCCTGGCATAGCTGGGCACTCAAAGCATAAATAAAAGCAAAATCTGTATATTTGGTTTTAATAACATCGTACAATTGTTTAACTGATTTAGGAATCGAAGACGCATCCGTGGTTGCGTTTTCGTTCGGTTCAACCGTAACATTTAAGTCATTGTCTTCGTCTTCGCCAGGGTACGATTCTTGATTGGGAGTAAATCCCAACATATCTTCAACTTCACGTTGCTCAAGATCATTAGAATTTTGGCACGATTCCGTGGTTATTGATTCTCCGTACTCTAAAGTTAGTTTATCCAAAACATTGTTTGAGCTTTCAGAAGGCACAGACAACGTATGCTTCAAACGAAAGTTGGGACAAGATGCCGCTAATCCCTCATTCGCCATCAGTTCAGGTTGAATTATTCCTTGTGTTTGACACTAAGAAAATAATATAAAATTATTGGTTATTCCTCGACTACAATAGCTAGCTAGTGCTTTTTCCTAAAAAGACTATTTGTTACCTTTCTTTCGAATGTGTTATTCTTGGTTAATTTAGCGGTATAAGTCTGTTCTAAGGCGGTTATTTTTCCAAAATCGACATCATCCATAGAAGGTAAGTCTAAATCAAAAGATTTATTTCCCTTAAATAAGGTGAATTCAGCCGGCCCTACTAAGTCTTTTGATTTGTCCGATTGCTTCTCTTCATTAACATTCTTAGTACAGTTATCAGTCTCATCTAAGATAATCTGTTCAATATGTGGTGTTGACATAACAACAGACGCTTCACGACAAGACGACCATAGGTGCATAGATTCATCCAGTGCGTTCATTTCATCTCTATGATAATTAAAATCACGTATTTCGAATTCACTGCCGGAAGGTAGAGACTCACGATTGAATTCCAAAACATTGCTATTGGAACTCCTCTGCGAGCCATTACTATCCGGTTGGTTAAGTGCATTAAGTAGTTCTTCATCAATTGGGGTTTCAGGGGGGCTGTCAAATTTTAGTAATGTATCCAATTGGCTGGCCGATATTTCACGAATGGCTGCCATGGTTTGATCTAAATTGCGTTGAGATTCCATGCTTGGAACTCTTGTGATTTCTTCTTATAATCGTAATATCCAGTTATGAGATAACGTTTACCCAATAGCAAAGTACAATCGTAAATGTGTTCTTTAACCTTTACCACGAGAGATCGAAAGATTTGATCTCTTTTGTTTGGTGTTTCTACTGCTGCCGCTGGAAGTATACGTAAAAGCCTATAATCTTTGGTACAACGAAGTCGCGGAAATTCGCTCATCAGATTTGAGCAACTACTGCAAATAGGAGCTAAAAAAAAAAAAAGAACAAAAAGATGCAAAGTAAACTCTGAAATACTACGTAGAAGAGAGATTTCATTCTTACCACCCGCAGTTGCGGCCTTTATTTTATTATACGTACAACAATAATAAACAGATTGTATGCTATAAGTGGAAAAAAAAAAAAATTCATTTCAACTTACGTTCGTCCCTAAAATGCACACTTACACTTCTTTTTCCAATTCCGTAAAGGCAACTAATATACCCACGACAAGACTTAAACCAGTTGGATATGCATGTAAATACGGTTCAAATAATAAATTTTTCTCGAACGGTAAGCCCGCAAAACGCAACAGCAGATGAACTTGATCGATATCAACGGTTTTTAAAGCAAACTCATTACCGACACTATCACTGCTGGCCTGTTTAATCATATCACGTATTATGCCGAATACGCAATATTTAACAGCATTCTCAAACTGTACTGGTTCCTCTAACGACAAATGCAACAATTCGTTGGAAGTTTTCGCGATATCTTCGTAAATAAAGGTTAAAGGTATCACAATGGCGGCCAAAGCATCTTCCGAACGCTTGGAATCTCTATACTTTGTAATGAATCTCTCACCGATTTCTTCGATACACTTCAACAGTTTATGGCCGCGCACAAAATTTTCTATTTGTTGTTGATCTCGAAATCTAATTAAAATTAGGAACAATGTGCATATCTAGCGAGTACTATAGGATATTTTTCATACTTACGATTGTGAAATATACGTATTGATTAAATTCGAGCCGCCTCGATTTTGTTCAGGTCGATTTATAGGAGTCAACGAATTAGGTACGCTGGACATTCTGTTTCATGTCCTGCGTTTGAATAAAAGCGGTACAATATGAAAAGTCACTCACTGTAAACATATGACTGGACTGCCAAGTTTTTATTAAGAGGTTTCGTCAGAGATTCTCATTTTCCAATTAATTCCTGAAACAAAGTGGAACATTTTGGAATAAATCAAAAATTACAACTGTGTGCAAAGAATGTTGTATTTGCTGATAACGTAAATATATAATATATATGTACCATAAATTTTGAATTAATATTATTATACAAAATATTGAGGTAAATTACTTTTCCCCATTAAGACTATATTATGGGCCAATAGTTATATAACTTTAAAATTGCGCAACCGTGCATGAAAATTATCATAAGAAATACATGTACTTGTACAGCCGAAAGTGGGAAAATCAATGAAAATATTTTTTTGTTAAAAGATTAGACAGATAGATGACCCCAGAAAAGTAATTATGAATTCAAGCAAATACGTTAATATCGCTCAGTAGTCTGCTAAATGCACAGAAAAGTCAAAAATTGAAAATATTATTGCATAATATTATATTGCATAAATATATAATAATAATGATTGTAATAATAATAATAATAACATAATAATAATAATATAATAATAATAATTATACTTATAATAATGTAATAATGATAATAATAATAACAATATAATAATAATATAATAATTATAATAATAATATTATTATCATTATTATTATTATTTTAGACTAATGAATTGAATTCTTAGACTAAAAAAAAGACATTGAGCACTAGCAACACAGGCTATCGGCTCAATAATAATATAATTATACTAATAATACTACAATAATAATAATAATGCATTGTTAAAAAGCTATAACGAAATTAAAAGACGAGAAGACCCTGCAAATCTTTATTATTAGCTCATTAATGGATTTATAGATAACTTTTCTTTAAAGGAAATTAATAATTTTATTGCGATCATATTGAAATTTAATTAATTTTTACTTAAATCGTACATCCATTTATGATTTATTGATCCGTTATTATGATAACAAGAATAAGTTACTTTAGCGATAATAGCGCAATTTTTTGGGGAGAGCTCCTATCGAGTAAATAGATTGTGACCTTGATGTTCGATTAAGATATTAATTTAAATGCAAATGTTTAAAAATTTCCGTCTGTTCGACTTTTAAAATTTTACATGATATGTAGTTCAAGTCGGCGTAAGCCAAGTTGGTTTCTATCTTTAATAACTTTTAGTATTTTAGTACGAAACGCATGGACCAAATATTGAATAAATAATTATTTTATCTTTTAACTAATAAATAATAAATAACTATTTTGAAAGAAAAGTATAATTAACTTTTGCTACATCGGATTATCGGATGCCTTCATCTATTATATATTAGTTTTGCTATGGAAAAATTTCCAACTAATGTATAATGGATTTGCACGATTACGTTACAAATCAAATGTTTCTATATTATTTTGAAAATACGGTGATGTTATTAATAGGAAAGTTTAAAATTCTATGTACAACTGAAATATCTAATCTATGTAACTTATTCCGGAATTTGTAAATGATGCTAAGCATTCGTTTCGCGGATGAAAGCACACGTAATAATTGTAAACAAAAGGCGCTCGAAACGGCTGCGCAACAGCACATTTTTCTTCGCCGGAGGTTTGGTTGGGAGTTGGGTTTAATGGGCTGTGATCAGTTGAGAAGAACTCAAAAAAAAAAAAAAAAAAAAAAAAATGAACGACAAGGAATTTGGATTACCTTGGCCTATTTTTTGGAACTTAACATGTGCAGGCGTTGTCACAAAAAGTAAGCTCTCAAATGGAGGCTCCTCTTATATGCGGGCTTTCATAAAAATTGTAGCTTTGCATGAAAATAATGGATACTCTTTGGTATATTGTTTTCAAAACGAGTGAGGCGAAGTGGTATACGGTATGTAAACCGATGCCCGATTCTAATGTTGTTATTTGTTCTCCCTACGTCTGTTCGAGAAAATTATATCGCACACTACCATAATTATGCGTGAATTTCTCAATAAAAACTTAAACTAATGTTTTTCCGCAAGGACCGTATTTCTCTGATATGGCTTCCTATGTCGTGTTCAAAGAAAAATTTTCTTTGTAAATATTTTAAGTCAATAGAAGCTGCTAAAGAGCTGAAGGCTTTTAAAAAAAATTTTTCTTTTAAATTTTTTAACTAATGCAGCGAATAACATGTAATTTCTGTTAGATACTAAGACTTCAGTTACCGAAGTTTTGTATGAACAATCCATTTTACTCGAAATGGGTCAATTCACTTAATTTGCTTTTGGTGGCATCAGTACAGTTGCAGAAACAGTTGCAAGACAGGCAGCTGAAATTTACCGCAAACGTTACTTAATCGACTAATAATGGAAGATAAGATTGAAAAACGGGCGTGATCTGCCTATGCAGACGCCAAAACAATAAGTAATTGAACTCAAATAGAAATTTCCGTTCATCTGCATATTCGGTTCCAAAATAATCCCAATGGGTTTACTGATCCACACTACATTTAATGATGAAATCTTTATTCTAATTTATTGCCAAATTGTTTCAACTGGATGAAGAATGTCTTTGAGAATATGACAGGATTGCAATTGAAGTTAAAAAGAAACGCTCGTGCACGTAAAGATTGCCAAATTCTATAATGCAAACGAAATATAGCATCCGATCATCATAATAAACTTTACAACCATTATTCTGAAGCTCGAAAGGTGAAAAGGTTCTCATTAACCCATTCTGGTGTTGTAGTGTTAATAGCAACTTTCTTAATGTAAAAAAAAAAAAAAAAAAAAAAAAACTGGATAATAAAGAAATATAGATGTGGAGGGTACGTGAGCATGGTTCACTTTCCAAGTTAATTCTAAAAATTTTCCTACAGAATTCTACTACAAGACGGACGGATAGATTTCTTTAAATCTACGAAGCATTTTGTATGTTTTTCTTTTTTCGTCTTAATTGATATGAAAGCTAATAAGTGAATGGAAAATTGAAATTTTTTTTATAGTTTAATTAAGTTTCAACTCTCGCTCATGTCTCTACGAAGTTTAAGTTTTCCTTCAATGCCAGGAGAGCAATATTGTTAATTAACACAACAATTTTAAACAAAGTTTTTTTTAAAAAGAAAGAAACCTTTGTTTTTATCATTTCCATTCTAGAGAGTATTTAAGACGAATTCCTTTAAATGATATTTAAAACTCTGAAGCAAAAAGATGGGTCATGTGTCGAAAATCATTCGCCAAATAAATTTTGCCGTTTTTCTATATACCTCAACGGCTGCTCGAGCGGTATATTGAGTTTGTGCAGATACATGAAAGACTTAACGTAGATCTTCTTTTTATCAATTCATTCCGAATAATTTTTTTAATTGATTTAAGAAAGTCTGTCCGTCCGTTTATTGGAAATCTGGCCACGTTTCGTCCAAGTCACAATTTGACATAAGTTTTGATAACATTTGGTATAATATTCGAGCGTGTTTTAAGCAATTTTTGAACCCGAATTGCTTCGCACCGTTTTCACGATCGCCCCCGATATAAAAAGTTGTTTTGAAAATCAAAATTTCATTTTATGTTTCTCGACAAAAAAAATCATGAAAACTGTATTCTGTATTCTGTTTCTATATAAATGTCGAACATATTTAGATGGAATGGGACACTTTTTTGTACCCGTTGCTTAATAAGAGTTCCTGCAATTGTATGGAAGGAAGGTTCAGTTTGTAGTATTTTGTGCTGAAAATTGTTATATATTGCTAAATCTTTTCATAGAAGGGTCCGAATGAAACGTAAGTCTTTCTATGGCAGCAAGATTTAATTATTGATAGTGAATAGCTAAGATAATTGAAGTATTTCGTTAAATCAGGTCGGTTTAGTGTAGGGTATTTAGGGTAGTTCGCTTTACTCGATTATAAAAATTTAATTAAGTTTTTGTTGTTGTTGTTTTTCTTGTTGTTATTTCTAATATTTGTTCATTTTCTTTTCCTAACAAATCGCATTTTACATTTTATTCAATTTAATGTCTTTGTTAAGCTTCACATGCATTCATCTTATTTGGTAGAAAATCTGTGCAAGTATACGAGCGAGCGACGCGCGTTAGCTTTTTGTATTGCAACGTACCGCGAAAATTTATGGCTGACAAGAAATTACATTAAAAAGCGTGTGCCACACATGTTTAATCTATTGTTGTTGTTTGCATTGTTATCTTATCATTATCCCCATCACGCACAGATTAAAGGCATATCCATAATGTCAAACCACTTGCCAGAAGAACGTAGCGAAACATCAAATTTGAAAACAATTTAGTCATGTCCATCCATCCTTGCATCTGTTCTTATATGCAGGTTAATATTGATAATAGTCCAAATCGATCCAAAAGTCATGTTCACAGCACAACATAAACTAAGTTTGCCTCATGGTTTGGTGGGCTTTCTCTTCTTGTCCATATCCTACATAAAATCTAATAATAACAATTCCCGCGCATAGTCCAATTGATGATCTTACAGGACCCGTACAGAAAATGCGGCAAAAGCGTTCTCGTTCGCTGAATATTGTAGAGAATCGAAACTTTATTACTTTCGTTGTTTTTTTTTTTTTTTTTTACATAAACTTGGTGGGTATAATAAGATGCGGCTAGAGTCGCGTATAATTTAGTTTTTTTTTTTAATTTTGGGTTTTGTTTTCTTTTCTTTAATTTTTTTTTCTTTTTTTTTTTTTTTTTTTTTTTTGGTTACAAGCAAACGCTCTTACGGTGTTAGTTATTTAAAAGGCGAATGGTGTTATTCGTTTCCTAGGCGCCTGTTCATATATTTTATCTTTTCAAAATTTACATCTGGACCCATTGTCTGGTTGAGCTTATGGTGTAATGAACAATTGTAGAAAGATAAATTTTCCATAAGCTATGCTAGAAATACAAACTATACCTATCGTGCCTTTATCGTGTTATGAATGCTTTATCTTACTTTCAACTGTTTACGCCATATCCGCTAAATATAGT